CCACCCACCACTCCATTTACTGGCAATGTTATAAGCAACTCGAATGCAACACAAGTTACCCGAAAAAATAAAAACTTGCCAAAAATTTAAAAAAATTGAATTAAAATTCGAAAAAACTCAATTTTTACAGTAAAATTTGAACATCAATGAAGAGAGTGCACCGAATTCTCACTGACTTACTTCATATACTACCAGTGTATGATTACTTCTGCAAAACTATTTTATTTTCTGAGAATATTCCAAAAATTATCTTTCAGGGCACCACGTCATGTAAACAGCTTGTTTATAAACCTTTTCTGAAACTTTTCCAGGAGCAGATTATTCAAAACATAATGATGATTTTGGATTTCCCTAAAAAGTCGACTTTTAAAAATAGAATAATTGCTTAAAAAATAGAAAGAAATAAAAAGTCCTTTTTACAATCTTTCATATAAATAGGAATATATATTTTATTATATTGTAATTCTGACGTTATTCCGAGTCTACCATTGTATAGTGCTTCAACAATAACTCAACAAATAAACAAACAAATAAATTAACAAATAAAAATGAAATATGAAAAAGGAATAGTAAATCCGATAGAAAAAACTGGATAAGAATTTACCAAAAGTCGTTTTCCTTTCATGAGGTAGGAACGACGTGAAGCTATTGACGTGCTCACTCTAACGTCTTAGCTGCTTCCAAAATGTCTCCGCCTCTTTCCATGATGTTAATGTAATGAATTTTTCGAGAAGTAAGAAGATTTCTGTAGGATTAGTCTGGATACACCTTAGCTGGGATTAGTTGACGTCTTACTATAACATACATACACACACACATACCAGTACTACACTCCAGCAGATATTTCCTTCCCCGGCAATCAATCGCATACTCTTTCAGAGTCAAACATCTCAAGCCTTTCTTTCACTTCAGATAAGTCTGAAGCTTGAATAAATACACATCCCAAAATAGATTTTGGATATTTTCAAATTTAAAAAGAATATTCTTCAAGCCCATATCCCTCAATCCAATTCCGTGGACCTTACGACAACAAACTCGTAAACTCCTCTTCCGTTCTGATTTATCGCCTCCACCTCTTGAGAAATGCCACATATTCTTGAGATTTGACCGGACGGACCCCATTAAAGGTTACGGCAAGGAGAAACGCAACAATGGGCTCAGCCGGTGCATTGGAACGTTGCAGATGCTCTCAGTTTGTCCTTTTAGATTTATCCTCGACTACTGTAATATAACGTCCATTGAAAATCTCCAAAAACTTTAGAAGACATTTTATTACAATGGTCGAGCCGGCCAG